CCCTCAGCCTTGAGTCGATGTGGTCAGTCCATCAATCTTGAATAGAATCGCAGGAGGAGAATGAGGTAATCAGTCCCTCAACCTTGAGTCGATGTGGTCAGTCCATCAATCTTGAATAGAATCACAGGAGGAGAATGAGGTAATCAGTCCCTCAACCTTGAGTCGATGTGGTCAGTCCATCAATCTTGAATGAGGTAATCAGTCCCTCAACCTTGAGTCGATGTGGTCAGTCCATCAATCTTTCAAGATTGATGGACTGACCACATTGACTCAAGGTTGAGGGACTGATTACCTCATTCTCCTCCTGTTCTTCAAGTTTCTCCTATGTATGGACTGATGAAGCCACTGTGTGGCGAAACGTTTCCTCAATAAAGTTACCCAAGAGTTGCACATGTGTCTAATTTATCATGTACAAGGTATACAGGTCTAGTTGACATCAATGACATACTACTATATAGAAAGCCGCTTGTTATGCAGAGCATTTCTTTCAAATTAGGTCAGATTTTGTCCCAGGATGCGACCCACACCAGTCGAATAGCACCCAGGTACCCATTTTACTGATGAGTGAACATAGACAACTGGTTTAAGGAAACACTTCCAATGTTTCCACTCCTTCGCCGGAAATCGAACCCGGACTCTCACCGTGTGAAGCGAGAGCTTTAGCTACCAGGCCACGGGGCACATGTTTCTTTAAAATACCTGCTGTGCAATGTTCACCAATCAGTAGAATGGTTATCTGGGTGTTAGTAGACTGGTGCGAGCCGCACCCTGGGACAAAATTGACCTAATTTGCCCGAAATGGTCTGCATAACAAGTGGCTTTCTAAGTAGTAGTATTTCAAAGTTAGGCCTATACACCTTGTCCATGTACTTGTAGAAATCAAGATTATTATTATTATTATTATTATTATTATTATTATTATTATTATTATTATTATTATTATTATTGTTTATTATTATTATTATTATTATTATTATATCATATTATTATCATATTCACATTATCATTGTTCATAGAGTTATTACTTATAACATTTGCACTGCACATGATTTTTGATTTGGATAGACAGTTCTCTGAATTGTGAATGAATTTTTGATTTTTAAATTATATTGCTAATTATAATAGACGAATCCGGGTTTATAATTTTAAGAATGCTATTAATATTGAGAACTGAGGTCTTCAAATCACATCATTTTTTTTTAACGGATTTATTTTTTCTGATCTTCCTACGAAATCAAAATTAAGTATCAGGTGCTGTAAACTTGTGTATATTTAACCGACACATACATGTATGCAGAACAACCACTGAAAAAATAGCGAGACAAACAAACCATACCATGGGAGGGGCTTGAACGCGAGGCTAACCCGTCGGTTTGGAGTTTTATGATTCTCTAACCGCGAGTTCAAGTCCCACCCGTGGTATGATTTGTTTGCAGTCGTGATTTCGTGAGTCATGATGACGGCTTTGAGGGGACTTGAGCTAGAGTTCGTCACGGCCCCGCTGGCGGGAGATTCGTCTGTAAAAACCTCCATTTGTGGTTACAGTGGTGCCTATGCTACCCTTTCTATGGTGTATAAATATACCTAGTTAGATAAATCTTATTGTGGCCAGCTGGCCCAGTGGATAACGAGTCGGACTGGACTTTTACGACTATCTAACCGCGGGTTCAAGCCCCGCCCTTCGTATGGTTCCAATGCATAAAATCACATGCATTAGCCAATGGTGATAGGAAAGGAAACAGGATTAGATAAATAATATTTTTATTTAAATACGTATGGCACCAATACTCAGTGTTCCTAACCATAGCCGTAGCCATGCCCATGTCTGTGATGGGGAGCTACATAGGCGTGTTTCCTCTGGTAGGACAGACCGTGATAAGGATGATCCACGGCCGTCTTGTGCCCGAAAGCAGCTCCGTGTTCCTTGTATCCATGTCCATGTCCTACCTCGTAGGAGTGAACCACACCATGGCCATGTCCACCACCGTGTCGATGTCCACGGCCGTAACCGTAGCTGTGTCCACCATGGTGTAGGCCGTGACCGCCGTGATGTAAGCCATGACCACCATGATGTAGGCTGTGACTTCCATGATGTAGGCCTTGACTTCCATGATGTAGGCTATGAACACAATGGTGCATCACATGACCGCCGTGGTGTAGGCCGTGACCATCATGATTTAGGCCATAACCGCCATGTACCACCACATAGCCACCATGGTGCAAATCATGACCATGACCGTGGATGATGCCACCATCATATGTATGTGTAACAGTGTGGACGATGCTGTGGCCCAGTCCGTGGCCAGTGCCGTGCCCCAGTCTGTGATCGATGCCGTGCCCCAGTCCCTGACCGATGCCATGTCCCAGTCCGTGGCCTATGCCGTGCCCCAGTCCGTGACCATGGCCCAAACCGTGAACGATATCGTTATCTACCACATATCCACCATACCCGAGTTCAGCCTCCCGCCGATCGCGGGCTGACACCATGGCAACCAGTAGACTATTTTTCACCAGAAACGTGTGGTATTGAACAGTAATGTCCAGGCTTCGTTAGTCGAAAATTGTGTGGTTCTTATAGCACGGGCGCTTAAATCTTACGCCCGCAAGAAGCTGCATCCTCCTTTGAGAGTTAAGTTGTTCATAGAAATAATAAATAATCTGTAAGATCATGTATCTTGAAGGTAACATGAATTATTTGCTTAAGATATGACTAATGTGAACATATTATCATGGGTTAAACTGGGAATATACACGGACAAAGGGTAAACAAAGTATATACATTTAAAAGTGTATGTCGTTCATTGTATATACTAAGAGAATTTACTGTTATTCCTTCTTTAAATGAGGATTCCTGATATTAACATTCATCCTAAATTGTTTCTATAATGACTAGTATACAGTCGCTAAGCTTTGAATACAACAGTGATGAATAATGCTGCTTAACGAAGGATAATCCACAAACACCATCAAGTGTGCAGCTGGCCGCACTGGTGGACTCACCAGATGCCTCATGGTAGTCAGTGTTGGGTGAGGCACTGAAGATGTGTGGAAATTTTCCGGTCGTGAGGTTCATATACTCATGTCACCCACCTCACCTTTCCTCTCTCTCTCTCTCTCCCCTTCCCCTCATCTCATCTCTAATTCCTCTAAATCCATCTCCCTCTACATCTTCACTCACCTTCCGTGTCTCCTGCTTTCCTTCTTTCCTCATTCGTTCATCAATTTCTGAACTTTCTACTATAGGTAAAAAATTAAATTACAATAATTTTAAATTAGGTAACGTAAAATCAATATTAATCAAATACATTTGTGCATTTTAACCATCTAAAACCAAATTATATTGATATGAAGGACGGTAACGACTGCGTGTGATACACCATCATTGTATTATTCACTGGAATCTAAACGTTCGTTATGAAAGAGGAAACCCGAGATATGAACTGAGACGAACCAGGTGAAAATTAGACTTGGAATCAACAGGTTTAGGAACTAGACATACCAAAACATAAGCACTGACAACAGGAGGGGAAGAATGATATCAAGAGAAGACAGTAGTGTCAGACAGTGGTAGAGACATTTGTATCAGGAAATTAACAGTGATATCAAGAGTAGTGGGATGAGTAAAGTAAAAGGACACAAGCCGTAACGGCTTGACAAAGCTCCTGGAGAGCGAAACGTTGCCACAATAAAATGTCACATTAGTTGCACTTGTGTCCTTTTACTTTACATATTGTCGGTAATTCTAGCAAATTTATTACAGTGGGATGAGTGTTGGACAGAACTAGCTGATGAGTATGAGAATTATATTTTTGCGCATATAAGAAATGAGAACTTTTCCGTGTCACTTTGAAACTAAACCAATTGTTCTTTAATGAGCCTTCATAATGGAACTATGAAATATAATGTAGAGTCGCATAAAAAAAAATGCTTTTAGCCAGAAAAATTATAATCTGGAGAAGTAGCTCATGTATCTCTATTATAATTGTTACATAAGAAATAATAGGCTGTCTGTTAGTCTCTGGGTCTCGGTAGAAAAAACTTTTCTGAGGATTCTGTAAATATTCAAATTACCGAATAGTCATTAGGACGAGCCTACTTAAATATATAAAGCGAAGATCAATAAAGTGGTCCTGACACACTTTATCCACGAAATATGGATACCTGGGTACAACCTTTTCAGATGCGACAGAAAGAACAGGCAACAAGGGGGGGGGGGGTTGGCCTATATGTCAAAGAGTCGCTCATTTGCACAGAGATATTGAACACCACAAATGATGTAGTTGAAGTTCTAACAATAAAAATCAAGAATCAAAGCTTAGTCATTGTACTTGTATATAAGCCACCAGATGTAACGTCCCAACAACCAGATGCAACTTCCCAAGAACCAGATGCAACTTTCAAAGAACAGCTAGCAAAAATTGACTCCTATCTGGAAAACCTTCCAACCCCATCCCCAAACATCTCGCTGCTTGGTGACTTCAGTCTCAGACATGCAAAATGAAAGAATGTAGCAAATGAAGTTATAGCAGAAATAATCCCTGGAGGCAGCTCAGATGAAAAGTCACACGCACATGAGCTGCTGAATCTCTGTAATAAACACACCCTAAGTCAGCAGATAGTGGAGCCAACAAAACTAAAGAGCACACTAGACCTTATTCTCACAAATAACGAGGAGCTGGTAAGAAACATAACAATATCAAAAACAACTAATTCTGATCATAATCTAATCGAAGTCCAGACCTACATGCACAGTGGTCCTGATCAGCAAAATGCATATAGCTATGAGGGTACCTTTACCAAATTTAACTTCAACAACAAGATCATCAACTGGGACCAGGTAAACTATGTCCTAAATGAAACATGTTGGGAAGTTATCTTAAATGACATGGACCCTACCCAGTGCCATGAAGAGATCAACTTTCTGGTAGCTGAAATATGTTCAAGGCATATTTCCCTAAGGAAAAAGACGAGAAGAAGTAAACTGGAGAGAGAGAGAGACGCTCCCTCTGCAGGAGAAAGCGATGAATCACTGAGCTCCACAAGAATGCCAGATTATCTGAAACACGAAAAGAAGCGCTAACCAGGGAAGTGGAAAATATTGAGCTAAAGTTAAAGGACTCATACAGGATCCAGGACAGACAAGAGGAGCTAAAAGCAATTAGTGAAATTGAAAGAAATTCGAAATATTTCTTTTAATACGCTAAAAATATGGCAAAAACCATTTCTAGCATAGAGTCCCTGCTCAGACATAACGGATCCTACACAGAAGACAACAAAGAAATGAGTGAGATACTGAAATCTCAATAAGACTCTGTGTTCAGTGAGCCACTAATCAGTCTAAAGATAGACAATCCAAACTATTTTTTCATGGACGATCCTCAAAACCCTTACCAATGTATGCCTAATTTCTGATATAACCCTAACTCTACTAGATTTTGAGAAAGCCATCGACGACATGCCCATGCACTCAGCCCCAGGCCCAGACTCGTGGAACTCTGTGTTCATTAAGAACTGCAAGAAACCCCTCTCACGGGCACTAAGTATGCTATGGAGAAGGAGCATTGACACAGGTGAGATTCCAGAGTCACTGAAAACAACTGACATAGCCCCACTCTATAAAGGGGGTAGTAAAGCAATAGCTAAGAACTATAGACCAGTAGCTTTTACGTCCCACATCATAAAAATTATTGAAAGAGTTCTAAGAAGCAGGATTGTAAATCACTTGGACTCCCAAAAATTGCACAATCCAGGGCAACATGGTTTCAGAGCAGGTCGCTCCTGCCTCTCGCAACTATTGGACCACTATGATATGGTATTAGATGCACTGGGAAAACAAACAGAATGCAAATGCAGTATACACAGATTTTGCAAAAGCTTTTGACAAGTGCGATCATGGTGTAATAGCACACAAAATGCGTGCTAAAGGGATAACTGGCAAAGCAGGCAGATGGATCTTCAACTTTCTAACCAATCGAACACAAAGAATAGTGGTAAACAGAGTTAAATCGGAAGCTGCCATAGTGAAGAGCTCTGTTCCACAAGGCACAGTACTCGCCCCTATCCTGTTCCCATTCTCATATCAGAGATGTAAATCGTATCATCCTTTGCAGACGATACTAGGATCTGCATGAGTGTCATCCATTGAGGGCACGGCAAATCTCCAAGAAGATACAAACCAAGTCTTCCAATGGGCAACCGAGAACAATATGATGTTCAATGAAGAGACAAATTCCAAGTACTCCGTTATGGAAAACTGGAAGAAATAATAACTAGGACTGAGTATACTACAAACTCAACTCACACAATAGAGCGGAAAAGCAATGTGAAGGACCTGGGAGTGGTAATGTCCGACGACCTCACCTTCAAGGACCACAACAATGCCACTATCGCATCTGTGAGGAAGCTGATAGGATGGATAATGAGAACATTCAAGACAAGAGATGCCAAGCCAATGACGATCTTATTTAAATCAAGTGGTCTCTAGGCTGGATTACTGCTGTTCATTAACATCCCCATTCAAGACAGGCGAAACTGCAGATGTAGAAAATGTACAAAGAACCTTTATTGCACGTATAAGTTCCATCAAACAACTTAACTACTAGGAACACTTGGAAGCACTTGACTTGTACTCACTGGAGCGCAGGCGAGAGATATATCATAATCTTCACCTGGAAGATTCTGGAGGGACCGGTCTCCAACCTGCACACAGAAATCACTCCCTATTAAAGCAAAAGACTTGGCAGGCGATGCAACATACCCTCAGTGAAAAGTAGGGGCGTCACAGGTACGCTAAGAGAAACTGCAATAAGTGTCCGTGGCCCAAGACTGTTCAACAGCCTCCAACCAGCCATAAGAGGAATTTCCAATAGGCCCCTGGTTGTCTTCAAGAGGGAGCTGGACAGATGCCTAAAGTCAGTGACGGATCAGCCGGGCTGTGGTTCGTTCGTTGGGCTACGTGCGGCTAGCAGTAACAGCCTCGCTGATCAGGCCCTGATCCACAAGGAGGCCTGGTCATGAACTAGGCCGCGGGAGCGTTGATCCCCGAATACCCTCCAGGTAGACTCCAGGTAGACTCCAAGTAGACTCCAGGTAGACTCCAGGTAGACTCCAAGTAGACTCCAGGTAGACTCCAAGTAGACTCCAGGTAGACTCCAGGTAGACTCCAAGTAGACTCCAGGTAGACTCCAGGTAGACTCCAGGTAGACTCCAAGTAGACTCCAGGTAGACTCCAGGTAGACTCCAGGTAGACTCCAGGTAGACTCCAAGTAGACTCCAGGTAGACTCCAAGTAGACTCCAGGTAGACTCCAGGTAGACTCCAAGTAGACTCCAGGTAGACTCCAGGTAGACTCCAGGTAAACTCCAGGTAGACTCCAGGTAGACTCCAAGTAGACTCCAGGTAGACTCCAGGTAGACTCCAGGTAGACTCCAAGTAGACTCCAGGTAGACTCCAAGTAGACTCCAGGTAGACTCCAAGTAGGTAGACAAATAATAAAATCAAA